GGACAAGCTGTAATTCCCCTAATTTTCCACTAGTGTTTTCTGAACCCATCCTCATGCTATTTTTAGAAATGATTCACAGTGAGTCCTAGGTACTTCACCACCACAATGCTTAAGTGCTCAATAAGTGTGTGTGTGTGTCATAAGAATACATGAAATATTAAACCAGTGTGTAATTTGTCAGTTGCACAGATTATATTGCTTCAACACATATCTTTTTAAAGGTCAACTAAAAGGTACAGTATATGTCTTCAGTAAATCAGTACATTACACTACACCCTCCCTTTTTTTCTTCAACAGGGACTTCTTATAATCCAGCCTGATCAGATGCAGGTAAAGCACTTGTGTTGATTATATTTTACTTACTTTGTTGGGATGTTTCTTGATGCTTGTGCTTGAAAAGAGCCCTAAAAGAGTAACCCTCCTTCTTAACAGACTGTCAACCCTATCTTGATCCTGGTTTTAGTGCCAGTCATGAACAGTTTGATCTACCCACTGATTTCCAAGTGCAAATTAAACTTCACGTGAGTTTATTTTCCTGTTTTGTTTCTGTGTGATGGAAAATATTACTGGAGTCTAGGTTATTTTGCAAACTTTCTGTGTATTCATTTTTTTCTTTGTTTAACAGCTTTTAAAATGCCCATTGTTTGATAATCTGCCCATCCTTATAACCACCAAGTTGGGAGATAAAATGAAGTGACAGATACTGTTTTAGCCTCCTGGAATCATTGTTCCATGTGATTGAATATGGTGAAGGGATATAAACTCAAATGTTTAAAAATGTGTGTGTGTGTCTGTGCGTGTGTTTGTTTTGCAGTCCGTTAAGGAGGATGACTGTTGGGATGTTCCTTGCTGCGCTTGCATTTGTTTGTGCTGCCCTGGTCCAGATACAAATTGATGTGAGTTTATATTTATTTGGAAAGGGACAGTGCACATTAATTAACATGATCACTTAAGTCACGTAAATGTGCCAGATTGAGCCATACAGGCTAATTTTCATCTGCAGTCCCTGGCACGTTGATGGAATATGTGTAGCACACATAAAAACATACATTAGGCAACTTCAATGCAAATTAGGGTATGAAACCCACTTCACACACACAGTTCCATTTCTCTTCTAGAAAACCCTGCCTAAGTTCCCATCAAGCACTGTTGGCCAAGCAAAGTTCATCAACATGCTTGACAGATCACTGGACGTCAAAGCTGGAACCAACGGGTTCACCTTGAAGCCTTACACGGTACTCCAGTCAGCACTAGACAGCGCACAGACACTTGTTATCCACATGTACTAAAATTAAGGAGGTCTGTAAGTCACCACCCACTAAAACTAGGAGAACATTTTCATGCTGACTTTTCTTTTGTCCTGCAGGCCAATGATGATTACCTGACCTTTGATGATCCATTTCTACTGAATCTAGGGGTAAATGCCACTTACCCAACTGGTTTAGTGGATGGTAATCGTAGCACTGTAGTCATCATTCAGGATGGGCCTCTACTCCAGCCTTTAGGGGTGAGTACACTGCCAGATTAAGTCCAACTGAAGTTCCATTTTTTAATAATTATTATTATTTAACAAGGCAGCAAGGTGGTGTGGTGGTTAGCACTGTCGCCTCACAGCAAGAGGGTTCCTGGTTCGATCCCGGGTCTGGGAGCCCTTCTGTGAGGAGTTTGCATGTTCTCCCCGTGTCAGCGTGGGTTCTCTCCGGGCACTCCGGCTTCCTCCCACAGTCCAAAGACATGCAGATTGGGGATTAGGTTAATTGATGACTCTAAATTGTTCGTAGGTGTGAATGTGAGCGTGAATGGTTGTCTGTCTCTATGTGTCAGCCCTGCAATAGTCTGGCAACCTGTCCAGGGTGTACCCTGCCTCTCGCCCAATATCAGCTGGGATAGGCTCCAGCGCCCCCGCGACCCTCAAGAGGATAAAGCGGTTAGAAGATGGATGGATTATTTAACAACTTGGGAAGTGGTCCAAAAGCATTTTATCGAATTTGAATCTATTCCTTTTTGAATGTTTTTAATTTTTTGTTGTTGTTGTTGGTTTTTTTTTGTTTGGTTTAGAATAAAGACGTCTCTCAGCTAAAAAAAAAAAAAATACTGCATTTCACTCAGTGCGCTATGCAAGGCTAGATAACTCATTAGGTGCTCAGCTGCGGCACATAAAGCAGCACGTAAGCATACCTGCAAATGTCACACAGGTCAGGTTGCTGGTGTGAACATCAGTGACACTGCTAATAAAACCCTGTCTTCCATGGTTTGTAAGCTGATGCATCAATCAAACAAAACATTTAAAAAACACGTCGCATTATTTGACTACGATAAGGGATGTCTAAATGTTATCTCAGTTGGACTGTAATTACGTTTGTAGTGTGTGTTTCTTTATCTTGGATTAATAAAATATAACTCAAAGTACAAAGATGTGGAGGCTCTAAAGTATCTTTCTATCTCCAGTTCATGGACATCAAAACCAAGCCAGAACAGGGCGCTAATGATATCAGGCAAGTTTCACAATGTTATAAAGCGTGCTGCTTTACATTTAAAGCTGTATATTTGTCTTTTTCAGGAAAAGGACAAGCAGCCTATTTGCAGAACAATGAACCACCCAACATGTATAGATACAGAACACATGATTGATGTGGAGCTCAAAATGCTAAGTATACTGGCATTAGTCTGTGTGCATCAGATGAGTAGTAATATTAACTGTAAAATAAGAAACCAAAGTATATCTCCATGCGATTCTTTAACCTTCATACTGACATAGTTTTTAACTAGCCTATATAATTAAACAGCACAATAGAATTCCTGAAATTTAGTTATGGCTATTGATTTTGGTGTGTCACCCCAAGATTTTCCAGTGGCCCCATGTGGTCACCCCTATGAAAAGTTTTTGGGGCCACCATTGCCCTCAGGATTCGCTTGGGACAGCTTGGGGGTCCTGATCTCCAGAATGTGAACCACTGCTTTAGATGGCCGTTAGGAACATAATTAAGCTGGTTATGTGGAGATCACAACATTGTGAGAAAATATTTACATGCATGAATTGAGCAAGGGTTTGTCTTACTGATTACAAATTCAACTTTTCATTTGTAAGAGGAAGAATGTGTTTAATCTTGTTTCAAATGTTTCATAGTCTCAGCTGGCACCTAGAAGAAGCACTGCGCCGCTGTGCACAGGGATTTACTATTTTTTTTATATTTTTTTGTTTCATAGTCTCACTTTAACACTGTCTCACCTATTTTGTTCTGAATTCTTCTTCCCCAGATTTTTTAGTGGCTATGACTCACTTTTGAATGTAACAGTGGGTGACCAGGACTTTGGGGAGATCACCACCAACAGCATGTCAAAATATGTTGGGGTACCACGGGGACTGTAAGGCTGATTTCGTTATGTATTTCACATACAGTTACACTGGAGAAAAGTCAATGCTCTGATGGGTGTTTTCTTGTATCAGTGCAAAGTTCCTGATCAAGAGTACTACTGGACAGGAGTGTGTCTACAGTCAAGAGCTGGGCTTCGCCAGCTCCTTCACCTTGATCATCCCGCCAGCTTTCACATTTGGACAAAATGTAATTCAAGAATTCATTTTGAGTCTCAATGTAGCTTAAATGTTTTTGACTGAAGTAACACATCTTGGTACTTGGCTGCTTTATGTCCTGTAGTGTGAACAGAACATCCATCCAGTGATGGACATCAAGCCCAACACCATCCACATGGCCTGGCAGATTCCCCAGTATTTCCTCATCACTGCAGGAGAGGTGGTCTTCTCTGTCACCGGCCTGGAGTTCTCCTACTCACAGGTAGAGTGTGCTCTCCTTACATATCTGACAACAACTGAAAATGCAAATAACTACAAAAGTGCAATTTGAAATTGTCCCTCCCAGCTCCCTTACAGTTAAGATGGCAGTGATGATAACAAAAACGGGGACTAATTAATCTCTTAACTTTAGTGGATTGGACAAAGAATTAATCTGCAGATGCTCCAGTTTAAAGTAAGACTAAACATTTCTATGAATGTCAGGTTTTGAGGCACGACAAAGGCCAAAACGTGTCCTGCAGCAGATCCTAAGGCTTGTGTCTTTAGTCAAGCCAATTTCCAGTAAACTCGCACGCCGGTTGAAAGGAGTGAGGAGTCAGCAGTTAATGACGGTGTGACATAGTCAGTAAAAAATTGTGAATTGCCACAGCCAGGAGAGGTCCTTGAGCATACAGTCATACATGTGCACACATCATATTGGACTGATTGGTCCAGCGGTTTGCGAGATGTGTGAACAGACAGATGCACAAAATCACACACACGTACACTCGCGCTCACACACACATACACAACCAAATACATGATCCTCTCCAGGCTTACACCTGGTTGAGATAACTGGAAGGACACTCAGAGAGAGCAGACCTCCACCAATGTTAACAAAAGTGAAAAATAATTTGGGTCTGCCCTGTGAACCACTCCAAAATTTAATGGGCTCTTTCTTGGCCCATGCTACGACTTTCTGCCAAGTTTCATAAAAATTAGGCCAGTAGTTTATAACCAGCCGGGAGGAGTCGACAAGTTGTGTGTTTTTTCCCTCTCTCTCTCTCTCTGTGTGCTTGTGTACGGAATGCAATCACTGCCTCTGATTGGCTTACGCTGATACTTTATCCTTGACTTAACCAATAGTCACTTCATAAAAAGGGTGGTAACGTTACTTGGCGCGTAGAGGGGAAAGTAACACAAGACCACAACAAGACAAGAGACATGGCTGCAGAGAACGTAGAAGGTGATAGGCCTGAGAAAACGCATGAGGGACAGGCACACATCACATGTGTGGAGATACTTCACTGTCCTCCGCCGTGTCAATGTGATGACATCATGAAATGACTTGTCGACTCGACTTAGACTTTATTGACAGATAAGTTGACCTGAAAAAAATCAAAGTCGTTAATGCCCTATTCCTAATGTTAATTTGTCCAGAGACACAAAATACTTATCGATGTCTTTTATAATTTGCTGTAATATGTAGTTTTATATTACTCTTTTTTTTTTTACTTTCCAGGCACCCAGCAACATGAAGTCTGTTGTGCAGGCTGGCTGGCTGTTCACTGTTGCTGTAGGTAACATCATTGTGCTCATTGTGGCCGAGGCTGCAACGCTCCCAGATCAGGTGGGTGGATTCATGTAAATCATTGGTAGATGCATATTGTCCCCACTGACCTTCATTTTAAGTTATATGAAACCATTAATTAGCGTTTGAAACTGGCTGTAGTTGCTTTTGATTAAACATAATAACAGAAGTTATGTTAGATAAATTGAAGCTAACTCTCCAAGCTCCATATTCAACAGACAGACATGAGAGTGGTATAAATCTTCTCATCAAACTCTCAGCAAGAAAGCCACGAATTTCCCAAAATGCCGAGCTGTTCCTTTTAGTTTAGCTCCGAATTAACACTGTGTTTGTTTCTGTTCACCAGTGGGCCGAGTACATCCTCTTTGCCTCTCTGCTGCTGTTCGGGTGCTCCATCTTTGTCTTCATGGCTTATTTCTACACCTACATCGACCCAACCCAGGAAGAAGCCCGGTTTGCCCAGAGGGAGCAGGAAGAGTGTAGAGATGAACAGGTGCAACTCGTTTGAGAACCGCAAGGAGGACAGGAGGAGCTCTGACTCCAGCTCTGACGAGGAGGAAGTCAAACAGACCAAGATCTAAAGTGGCCATCCTCCACGGCTTTTCCCTCTTTTGTACAAATGCTTGGTTCTGTGTTTCATGTCTGAGTCCAGTACACTACTGAACATGTCGTGGTTAGAATGAATGAATGGATGGATGAGTGAAATGGTGCTGATGTTAGCAGAACACAGAAGGGCTTTGATGATTAAGCTCTTGGTGTACAGTGTTGGTGAAGGGATAAATCAAACACTGTTATCACCATTTCAGCAAAAAACTTTGAGAGTAAATTCATTTAAACAGGTTACTCATATCATTAAAATCCCCAGATCTTTACTTTACTTTATTTTTACAGTGATTTATTTTGCACTGTGTAGCAACATCTACATATGTAATTTCTAGTTTCATAGGATTTTATGATGTGCCCGAGTAAACATACAAAGAAACCATTCCAACATGTATTTATTTCCAAGCACAGTGTTGTATGTATTGTAATATATTGTGTTTTATATGTGTATGATATTCTCATCTGCTCCAGGGAAAAAATCTAACACCAAATACTGCTTATTGAGTCATGAAAATGTTTCATTATATTCCATATTCAATCTCAGATTTCATCTTGGCCTGGTAGAACACTGCCCTGTGATAATGGCTGCTCACCAAAGTCTTCAATAAAGATGCTACCAAGGTGTTGTTGTCAATAAATGTGTACACCGCTTTCTTTCAGCTATTCTATGGCATTATGTTAAATACATTTATTTTTCTGTGTACAAAATCTGATGTTTCTGTTTCTTATATTAATCTTTCACACACGTAGGAAGGCAACTGGCATTTTGTAATTCATTATAACACAACTCAGATTCCAGTAAAGTTGTGATGCTGTGTAAAATATACACAAAAACAATGCTATGTTTTGGAAATCCTTTTCAACCTATATTCAACTGAATACAGCACAGAAACAAGATATTTAAAGGTCAAATGTGTAGGATTTAGGGGCCTATATTGGCAGAAATTGAATTTAATAATAATAATAATAATAAAGTAAGTTTTATTTTGTGTACAGTTACCTGAAAAAGAGTAGTTGGGACAGGGGCAATAAAAGACAGGGAAAGTTGTGAGATGCACAAAAAACCAACAGGGGGCTACATGGTTAACAGATGATAGTATCATGGGCGAATCTGGATCTGCAAGGACAGAGTCAGGTAGTTGAATGAGGTCAGTAAATGACTGTCTGCATGCCTTGAAGGTCCAGTGTGTATGATTTAGGGGCATCTGTCAGCAGAAATGTTAGTTAATATGTTTTTATTGGTTTATAATTACCCTCAAACAATAACTTTGTGTTTTTATGACTTTATATTGTTTCTACAGTAGCCCAGAACGGACAAATCAAAAACACTGGCTCTAGATAGGGTCATTCCCGTTTTCTACCGTAGTTACCCTACACACTTGGCACACCGGAGAAGTTTCTGCAACCTCACTGCTGGAGACCACTAAACTCTAAACAGGTCACAGTCATTGACATTATGCCAGTATATAAGTGCCTCATCTCTTACAGTATAATATATGGCCAATGAGCCATCTTGAATGTTAACACAGTGTTGACATTTTTTGAACTAAATGGAAAAAATATAGACAATTGGGTAAAATGGACCCACGTTCTTTATGATTTAGTTTAAAGGGCCAGTGTGTAAAATGGGTTGAAAACCGTTGGAAACAGTGACATCAGTGGTCAAATTCTAGATTGCAGGGCTCACTCGCTCACCCCTCCCGTCGGGTAAATGACGGTGGCCTCGTAGGGACAAAAAGCCTTGCGCACGAGTTTTTCAGGAGTAGGTCTATCTAGCAACGAGGTGAATGTTTACTTAGAAATCTAAACCATGTTACAATATTGTAATGAATCCCTCACGAGCAGGAGACCAGAGGAGCGTTCGGGAAAAAGGCCCGTTTATTTGAGCAGTCCAGAAACTCTGGTAACACTCCACTCCATCCCAAACTCTGACTCTTCTGGCGTAACAGACACACTTCATAACTTTACACACATACTCGTTTACGATACTAAGTGGGGACCCCCCTCCCCTCTCTGCTCCGCCAATCTCCAGCCCACACACTGACTGACAGGGTAGCCGGTATACAGTGCTCAGCTGTTTATTTAGCATAGCAATATCTCCGGACTATAGTAGCTGCGATGGACAACTTTGAACGCGATTTTGAAGAGTTTCTTGTAGCGGACACAGACCCAGAGCCATACCTGTTTGAGCCGGAGCATACAGATGAGGAACTCCATGTGTTTGATGCTGAACAGGTGAGAAGAGAGGCTGAATGCACAGAATGGGATTCGGTGCTACTGCTGCCATTGTTGGGGAGATATATCATCAGGAGAAAAAGCGCTGCAGAGAGTGCATCACAAGGAGTGAAGTTGCGTCTTCTTTTCCTCGCAGATGACGGTTCGGGTTCATTCTCTCCTGTTGCGTGGTAAGTGTGGTCCATTCGCAAACTTTATAACTAAAAAAACTTTTCACTACTCTCTATCAACGAACTACTAACACTCTGCTGTTTCCTCCTCCTCCTCCTTCTTCCTTCCTTCCGCTGTCTTCGTTGGTTCATTTATACACGCGAAACGCGTTCTCTGGCTGGCTGGATTGTCCACTCGGTCTGCCATACATACATGGCGGCACAAGATGGCGACCTCTCTAAAGCAAGGCCCTTGATATATATATATATATATATATATATGAAAGCATAATTATAAGGCTACGAAAACCAAACGTATTTTATTTTATAGCGATCATACACTTGTATAAACATATTAATGGGTAGAATATTCAGATTCAGATTCAGATTGACAATAAACCATGCCAAATATTACACACTGGCCCTTTAAGACAATGCCTGTTACAGGCTAATTATGTCACCTCAGAAGGGGGCAATTTGTCACCGTTTTCCTTTAAGATTAAGTGGCAGTTGAAAACGTAATATCTAAGATTTGTCTTTTACTTGATCAAACAGCAGTTGAAATTCATTCACATTAATTTTTTACTACCTACGACGTAGTACAATGTGCTTTAATACAATTTTGGACCTGCTCTGCACGCTCCTATTGTGATAGTTTTCAGTCTATGTTCATGCTGAAATTGACTGGAAAGTCACATTTTTAAGCTGATATTTAAAAAAAAAAAAAAACTCGCCATGGGAGCATGCCCTCAGACCCTCTCTATGGGGTTCACATCTCTGTCACCTTTCTCTACCCTGGTGAGTCTGCTGCCATCCACATGTCGTCTTTTTCAGGGATGTCCCTGCCAAGCCACATTCTGCATGTGTTACAACAATGTGGCTTCATAGTAAAAGAGTGCAGGTGCTCGACTGGCCTGCCTATAGTCCAGACCTATCTCCCATTGAAAATGTGTGGTGTATTATGAAGCACAAAATATGACAGGGGACAGCCCGGAGTGTTGAGCATCTGAAGTCACATATCAAGCAAGAATGAGAAAGAATTTCACTTTTAACACTTCATCAATTTGTGTCCTCAGTTTACAAACACTTCCAAGCTGTGTTTTGAATCACACATTTTATCTTCTAACTTTTATTGGGTACTGCAGCTGCCCTTACAAAGTACAAACTGTTGCATGCAGCATGCACACAATTGGGACATACTACTTTGTCGTAACATTGCACCCTAAATGTTGACCCCTTGCTCATATATATCAGTTACCTTGGAGATACAACAAAACCAAACCAAGATAGCCAGAGATGGAGGTCAACCCAGAGCGCTCTGCTGTTGTTACTTTGCAATGTATGTAGTTTAACTTTTAAGTAATAACTATGGACATAGATTCAGACATATTCGTGGCAGTAAAATTACATTGGCATTTCTGTCATTGTTCTTTTCATACTTATGTCCTTTTGATGTGGGTTATGATTATTTTAACTTAAACAATTAATATTCCTATATTGGACTTATCAGGCACTTGAGTCCACTGTCATCCATCATTGCGGCTTCTGACTGCTGTTTGTTAGTGGCTCATTCGATGACATGCCTCCCTCTGCGCAAAAGCATGCTGGCTTGATTACTGCAAAATCCAATTGGATGTAGTAGAACATCCTGGTATCTTGACACACTGTGTTAACATATTATATATTGAGACATGCTTTATATTTTTCTGGCATACTAAATAATATGGTAGTTTTGGTATTGGCATGCACAGTAAGAGTCTTCAGCTATGCCAGTGGCTCTGTGAAGCTGCATTTTGGCACATTGGTGCTTCCAGAAACTGATCATGGGAGCTTCTTCTGTGTGGATCCATTTGTTTCTGCTCTGCTAGATTGTTATTTGACCCAGCACCCATTTCATTGGATACTGGGATGTGTGTCTTTTTTTTTTTTTTAAACTGTTTTTAATGCTTCCAGACAATGACGCACGCACAACAAAGCTCATTAGCATTAGATCTTTATTTCTCATGTCACTTTGAAAGCTTACAAGGAGCTTACATTTAACTTGGGAATTCTCAAATGACACAAGCAAAGATTATATACAGTACTATAAACTGTCAGCTATGATAAAGGAGACCAAATGTACACATTTTGTAGTTATTTCCGTAGCATATGTTTTTCTGTAAGGTATAGATATTTTTTTTTTGCCCGAGGCAGGTGCCCGTATCCATAAAGCATTCCATATTTCCATACTTAACTCTTTGCCGTTATAAAAATATCAGATATTTCTTTATTTCTTTCAATCCCTGTGTTGACAAGTGCGTCTTGATGCAACTCCTCAACATTATTGCTGCATTAGCACAGTAGTAAATTCTGGAACTCTTAAGTAAACATATATAGTAAAACATGGCTATTAGCGACTTTTTTCTTTCTTTTTTTTTTCCTCTTACGTGTTTCTTTAAATACTCGACACACTTTCAAAGTGCAAAACACTGATCTGAAAATTAAAAAAACAAAAACAAAAAGGTGCAAATCATACTACAAACATCTGGTGAGAGCATAAAAGAGGACATGGCACTTCTAGCGTGGTGTGGAAGTGAGAACAGAAATGTCTGGAGTAAGGAAATAAGGATGGCGTTGATGTCTGCAGCTTGGCTCGTCCTGGTCTGCAGCTTAGTTTGGCCATGAGCACGTGTCATGATGGGATTGCCTGTGATGGTCCTTGCCAGTTTTTCCTCGCCTCCACTTTTAAAGTAACGCTAAGGATAAATTACAAGCCAAGTAAAAATAATACTTCACATAATATCAGCAATCAACCACCCTTAGTGGTTTGCCCTTGTAATTGTCCTCAGCTCCACTCAATACTGTTATTTAAGAGCCGCTGCCGACACAGATCTACCTCCATTCTTGTCCTAAACAATTTCAAAACTGACTTAAATTGTCTAAACATAAGTACAAGCAGCAGCTTCTCCCCTGACTACAAAAACAAAGGAAAAGCTTCTGCCTCTAAACAAATAAGCTTAGTATCATAGTTAGTTCGGTGATTCAGCAGGTGATTGAAATGGAAGATTGGAACTCAGTCATTTATAAGGAGAACACTGATGAATACTGAACTGAATATCATTCACCGACAAGTAAAAGAAACTAAATCTCAGATGAAATGCCGGAACGTAGATGTGTGTATCTCAAAAAGGCAAGGCATTTTCTGTTCTTTCTGTTGGAGTAACTTTTGAAATCTTTAAATATCTACTTTTTTAACATTATCAGTATCTACAAAA